TTGGTGAACGCGCACCGGGTGAGAATAGCCACAAGACTCACCTGCACTATTCTCACTCCGGGTGAGAATAGAGGTGGCCTTTAAACATATAGTCAAAAATGCGAACTTCCTAACCGACACCGGCAAAGTCACTTCAGGGCTCATTAACCTAGTGACCCCGAGCCGGGGAGCTCCGGCAGGCTGCTGAATCACGCTAACTCGGGCGAAAAGTGACGCCGTGTCGGAGAAATAGACACTTCAAAAATAGATGGCAGAAATACCTCCTATATTTAGGCCAATAACAGAGGTGTACTAGATGCTCGCTGTATAGCATCATGTCTAGATTTCTAAGTCAGATCTACAGGAGGAGGCCTAGACTATAGATCATTCAAAATATTCTTGTAGTCATCTCTAGATCTAAATCTAGATTCTAGATCTAGACTAGATCTAGATCTAGATTCTAGATCTAGAGTCTAGTCAATTAAGTCAAAGTCAAAGCATGTACTGTAGACACAGATCTAACTTTGTTGAATAAACATCGACACTTGCCTGAAAGTAAAATAAAATAAACGAAACATCACCAGACATTACTACCAAGGAAATAGCAAAACAATAGTTCTAGGTCTAGATTCTAGATCTAGAAATCTAGGTCTAGCTAGCTAGTGAAACTGAAACCGTACCAAAATAGCGAAGTGTCGCCATGTTAGTCCTTTCATATCATTTTTGGAGATGTAGAGAGGTTCAGGTTGATCCACTTCGTCTCGATCAGACAGCTGTACAGCAGCTATCAAACCCTCGTTATCCATGGCTAGGATTTACCTTCACGTTAAATGATACAAAGGATACAATGTGAGTGAATCTGACGAAAAAACTGTTCAAATACAAAAGGCGTTTCTTCAAATCAAGATGGCCTTCCCATTCTCTGCTACAGCTGTGCATCCATTTTGTTGTCAGTGTTGAGGTGAAGACCGAGCGTACTAGGAAAAGCCTAAACAAACCCAAGTGCTCCGTTATATCTCTACGCCACCAAAAGAGTTCATCGTACTGAGGAAGTTATCTTGTCATCAAATGAATATCTAATGATTGTAACAGCTATGCAGACTTGAGCATGACATTTTCAATAAAAATGTATCCATACTTTGCAAATATTCTTCTGCACTTTGATCTCAGACTAATTTCTTGTGCAATGTTTACAAACTTTTGCACAGGCCTCTGGATTACTATTGTTGCTATTTTTAGATCATGACGTGTAAAAGTTGATTTGGTTAGCCTAGGCAAAGCTTCTAGATTTTAGACATGGTCAGCCATGTGACCAGTGACAGTGACAGAAAGACCAGGGTTGCTGCGGAGATGGAAAGTCAAAGGCCTACACTTTTGTATTGAATTACTCAATACAAATTTCGACAAAGCTCCTTCTTTTAGCGTATCAATTCCGGAAGCCATACCTGAATCTTGTCAAAACAGTAAATATTAGGCTAATCAACAATATTGTAATCCATCCAAGCCTACTTTCTTGAGGCTATCCTCAACAAGCTCGACTCGCTCAAAGAAAAAGATAAATGAGATCAGTGATAATGGGGTCTATTAACAGCATCTATAGGCAGTTGACAGCAGATGTTGCTAAATGACAACAACAAAAATGGCAAATGAAACTGGAAGCAAAGTACATGTATGTTGTTGAGGTGAACACTTTTCTAAGACTAACCCAAGCCTATGCCTGTTTCCTTGACAACGAGAAACCACTACTGTGATTTCCCTAGCCTATTCTAGATCTAGTTGTTTCTTTTTTATGTCCAAAGATAACAGAGATAGCCTAGGCATACAGTGGTTCGTGGTCCATCTCAGACTCGGAACTCGGTAAGGACCACCATGATGGGCAACAGGTGGCGGCGGATCGTAATCCACATCTGCTGACGGCATTTAAAAATCAAGATCATAATTTTAATATGCTAGGAATATTTTTAAACAATTTAGAATCTAGGCCTATCAAAAAGGGACAACAAGAAAATCATCATCATCATTGCCTTTCTCACCTTGCACCTGGGTAGTATAGGCCACGGACAAACACCTTCCACCTTTCTCTATCCTGGGCTAGCCTCTTATGATGTTATTTCATGTCTTCCCACTTTTCTGTACATCGATTTCTGTGATACTTCTCCAAGTTCCACACGGTCTTCCCTTTGATCTCTTACTCTGTGGGATCCAATCCAAAACTTTCTTTGTTATGCAGCTGTCTGACTTCCTGAGAGTATATCCAATCCATCTCCATCGCCTTTTACCTCACCTCTGACTGGGATCTGTCAAGAAAACCTGGATCCTCTTTATGCAAGTCTGTGATGCGTTCCATGTCTTCCATCCATACAACAGCACCGACTTCACATTTGAATTGAAAATCCTCAACTTTGTTCGAAGTGAGATTTCTGGACTTCCAAATTGTATCCAAAGATATGAAAGCAGCCTGCGCTTTTCCAATACTTACTTACTTTACGTTTTCATCCTCTGTTGCCGTTAAGCGTCGAGGGGAGATGCAGTTTTCTATGGTAGGCCAGCTCCGCAGCTCTTTCAGTAGTTGTGATGTTATGTTTTCTTAGGGTTTCCTTGATACCCTCGATCCACCTTTTGCGTGGCCTTCCTCTTCCTTTATAGCCTGAGTGCTTGGTGGTGTAGGCTCTCAAGGCTGGCTGGTCAGGTGACATGCGTAACAGGTGGCCAAACCAATGTATCCTCTGTCTTTCTATGTAACGCAGGCAGGACTCAGAGACGATGGCTGCTCTTACTTCTTCATTTCTCTGCCTGTCTCGTCTTGTGATGTTAAGGGTTTTGCGGAGACATTTCATTTCGCTTGCGGTGACTTTGCTTTCATGGGTTTTGCTTAAGGTCCAGGTCTGGCACTGATAACATAATGCTGGTATGACTATTGAAGTGATAAGCTGTCTCTTTGTGTCCATGGAGATGTTTGGATGAGATAGAAGGGGTGCGAGCTGGTAGGTGACAGCGTTGGCTTTTTGAGTTCGCATTTCTATTTCTCTGTCTATGGACCTGTTTTCAGAAAAAGTGCTGCCAAGGTATTTAAACTCTTTCACCTGTTTCAGTTGTTTACTTTTGATATGGATGTGCAGGGGACTATGGTTTCGGCTCACTTTCATAACTTCTGTTTTAGATGTGCTTTTTTTCATGTTGAATTTCTCACAGGTGTTGTTGAGTTCGGTAGTGTGATTTTGGAGGCTTTGTTGGTCATGATGAATTAGACCTATGCTTTTCCAATGTTGGACTTTATTTCAGCACCTGTTCCTCCCTCTCTGTCAATTATGCTCCCAAGATAGCAGAAGGAGTCAACGTTTTCTAGTGCCTTTCCTTCTATTGTGACCTGCTCCTTTCGTTGTGCATCTGTCCTTAGGACCTTTGACTTTCCTGGGTGGATCCTCAATCCAACAAACTCCGATAGGCTGTTTAATACTGAAGTCTTTGCTTGCATCTGTTCCTGGGTGTGCGACAGAAGTCGCCTGCAAAATCCAGATCGTCCAACTGTGTCCATTGTGTCCACTGTATACAATTTCTGTGTCCTCTGGTGGTTTCCTTTATCAGCCAGTCGACTGCCAATATGAAGAAAATGTCATACAGGAAATGGTTAGGCCTAAAATGAAATTAATTATCTTGGAGCATTCAGAAAGTGGAGTTCACAGCGAGTGGGCATATTATTATATAATCCAATCGGTAAGCGGACGGGACATGAGTCGGAATAATTTTATTATTGTCCAAGTGCAGGCCCAATAGGCCTACATGTAGGCCCCTATAATATATTAGTAGCCTACAGTACAAGTAGCCTACGTCTTAGTGTATAGATTCTAGGCCAACAAGTAAAATATCCTTGTTAAATTAAATAGATCTAATACCTAATAGATAGCCTAGTCAAAGGGAAACAAACGCGTAAGAGGTGTAGGAATCTTAATTTTAGAAGAAGCATCGATAAGTTTTCGAAGTTTCTTTTCTTTTTTTTTTCTTTTTTTTTTGGTACAAGTAAGTGTTTACGACGCTCGCAACTGCATAGGGTCAAATGAGCGCGCTAAACACACCTAACATTTTCAGTTGGAAGGACATTTTGAATTTTTGCCGGGTGGCGGCCGAAGCCTCTTATCGATTTTTGACCCCCAAAGGATCTACATGTATAACGTGCGCAACTTGCACACGGGCCCTCCGAGATTTTTCGCCTTTGTCCGAGAAGGCTAGGTGTGCATCTTTCCTGGCAGAAGATCAGTGGTGTGGCTGAAAGACAGCAGTAAGAAGGAGCCAAGGAGAAGAATTAGTGGAAAGGCTGCAGAAAGAGTCAGGAGCCCAGAGGAGGGGGCAAAGGAGGTGAAGGGGTGGGGGGCAGAAAGTGGGGACGAAAGCAGACGACAGAATATTGCAAGAGAGCAGAAAAGGAGGTTAAATAAGACAACGTTTGTCAAAGAGTTTCACAGATAGGTCATACCATAGTACAATTGAAAGAGAATCATTTCTTCTTCTTCTTCTTCTTCTTCTTCTTCTTCTTCTTCTTCTTCTTCTTCTTCTCCTCCTCCTTCTTCTGTGTCTTGATACATATGTAGATGTATCTGTCCCCGTTGTTTTATGCAAGAAGAATTCAGAAATTATGCAAATTTAGGCCAAAAATGTGAAATTATGAGATTCTGTTAATTTTAACAAAGAATGATACAGGTAAATAAATCAGAAATTCTGCAAAAAATGATCAAATTTTGCTAAATTATGCGGGGTGCATAGAACCACGGGGACAGCTGTATTGAAGACTAGAACAGGAAAAAACGGGACAATGTGAACAGGTGGTTGGAGGGCGCGCACCACTTGGTAAGAGTAGACACTATAATCTTCTTTTCTTCTGTTATTTCTACCTTTATCGTGCTGTTACTGCACTCATTGCATTAGGCAACGGTTTTAATTGTTATCAAATTGACGTGCTTCTGTTTACTTAAAATAAAATTCCACTGACATTGTGTACTCAGAACTAGGTTGACACAGGACAATTCCAACAATTGCTGTTGTAAGTTCTGTAACACCACTGATTTATTTTCTATTCGTCTTCGTCTTCGTCTATCCCGTGGTTGGGGCAACCGTGGGGGCACCACTGCATCTGAAAACCAGCTCTCGCCATCTATTTTTGTCATCTGCTTTCCTCAGATTGTCACCCATCGTCTTTCCTGTCCACTCTGTAATGTTGTCCTCCCATCTCCTTCTCTGTCTTGCTCTCTTTCTCTTTCCTTGTACGGTTCCTTGCAGGATTGTTTTGGCAAGGCCTGTGGATCTTTTGACATGCCCATACCATTTTAATTTTCGTCTCTTCACTGTGGGCAGTAGATCTTCATACTGCCCTACTGCGTTGGTGATTCTCTTTCGTACCTCAGCATTTGAAACGATGTAAATGAGTCTGCCGTAACATCTCATCTCTGTGGTCTGGATCTTTTTCTCTAATTCTGCTGTTAATGTCCACGACTCGCAGGCGTATAAAAATATTGAGATGACCAGTGAGCGCATTAGTCTGATTTTTTAGTTGTGCGTGATGTTTCTGTCCTTCCAAATAGGCTTCAGTTTTGACAGCGCAGCCGTTGTTTGCGCGATTCTGGAGAGAATTTCTGGTCTTCAACCTTCATCTGAGACGATTGATCAAAGGTATTTGAAGCTGTTGACGGCCTCAAATTTCTCGCCCCTGACTTTGATGTCCCCGTTCATGCCATTGGTGTTATTGGTCATTAGCTTGGTTTTCTCGGCACTGATTTCCATGCCGTAGTCTGCTGAGGTTGTGTCCAGCCGCTCCACTAGTGTGGCGAGCCCCTGTTCTTCTCCTGCTAATCCATCGATGTCATCGGCAAAACGCATGTTAGTGATTGGCCTGCCTCCAATACTGATTGTTCCATTGTGGTCTTCCAGAGTGTCAGTCATGATTCGTTCTAGGAAGATGTTGAAGAGAGTGGGAGAGAGCAAACAGCCTTGCCT